AGGGGAAATGGGATAGAGTGGGATCTGGAAGAGGACAGACATGCTCATTACTACCTACATTTTGCAAGTGTTCCAAAATACCTGACCCGACGGACACGCGCTCTCCCGAGGCCCAGAAGCAAAGGGAGCCTCACTGGCCGGTTAGGGCCCTGGCTATGATCCAGTGTTCAGTGAGCACCTGTCTGCTGTGGTATTGCGGACCCCAGGATCCACAGGTCAGCAGAACAGAAGTGGCCCCTCCCTCAAGCACTCACAAATGGTGGAAACAGCCCCAAAAGGCAATTTCTCTGCAGAGAGGCATGCTGGCCCAGGCAGGCTGGGGCCAGGGGCTGAGTGCACTGACCAGGGGAGGACGCTGCTCAGTCAGGACAACCGCATGCCAGGGCCTGGTGGGGAACAGACCTTTACCTGTTCTAGGAACTGGGAGGTGGTCACGGTTTTGGGGGAAAGAAGGAGCCTTGGGCAGCTGGAAGAAGCAGGCTGGGGACGGGCAAGGGTTGGTGGCTTCCAGGGAGGGCATGTGCGCACAAGAGCAGCCTCTCCAGCTGTCCTATGCTAGAGTATGTGGCAGAAAAGAAGTTTGCAAGTGGAATTAAGGTTAAAGGCCTTAAGATAGGGTGGTCATCCTGGATTGTTTTGGTGGGCTCAGTGCAAGGGCACGAGCCCTTAAAAGTAGACACAGAGGACGGAAGAGTAGATCAAATGCAGTGTGAGACGTGCCTGATCTTCTGCTTCTGGTCTTGACGATGGTGGAAGGGATCCTCCGCTATCTAAAGACCCAAGAACTTCAGGTGACCTCCAGAAGCCAGGAATGACCCTCAGGTGGCAGCCATCAAGAAAACAGGATGTCAAGAAATCAGAAGGCTCATGCCCTGCCAGAGGGAATGTGAAATGGTGCCGCCACTTTGGAAAACAGTTTGGTGGCTCCTCAAAAGGCTGGACATAGAATGACCATAGGACGCAGCAGTTCCACGCCTAGTTAGATCTGAAAAGAGTGGAAAGCAGGATCTCAAACAGTTCACGCCTAGTTAGATCTGAAAAGAGTGGAAAGCAGGATCTCAAACAGTTACTTGCTTTGCAGTGCTATTAACAATAGGTGAGAGGGGAACAGCCCAAGCATCCCCAGGGGGGTGGGCCAATGACGTTATGCTACATGCAATAAGTGAAACACGAAAGGACAAAGACATAAACGGAGGCATATTAGAGATGTGAAGAGTGTAAGTAAAACTACTCAATCACCATCCAACCTAGCAGATAGAAAGGCACTCCAAGGAGCTGGACAAGTGAAATACTTTCATAGGCAGAAGAGAGAGGAGCAGGGCAAGGAAGTTACGCTGGCAGAAAAATGGGTGGGTTATTGCAAAGTCACTTTGCTTTAGTGGACAACAGGTCCATCGGGCAGATCACCTGACTGGTGCCGACGGGAGACTCCAGACTGACAGGTTTAAGATTCCATCTGGGGAGTCGAAATTGCCGTCGAGTTGTTTTAGTTTGGTGACATGGGACTTAAGATAAGCAACATAGAGTTTGTGCCTGTTGTCTTGTCTTTAACAACAAATCTTTTTTGATCCCGCTTGTTGAGGTACCTAGAAAAGACAAGTTCACAGAGACAGCATAGAATCTAGGTTATCAGGGGCTGGAGAAGGGTGGAAATGGCAAGCTGTTGCTTAATAGGTACAGTTTCTGTTTGGGATGATGAAAAAATTCTGGAAATAGTGATGACTGCACAACAATCTTGAGTGTAATTAATGCCACTGGAGTGTACACTTAATAATGGTTAAGATGCTAACTGTTATTTATATGTCAGCCCAGTTTGAAAACATTAAGAAAGAGCATAAAAAGGCAACGATCTAGAAGAATAAACCCATGAGTGTATTAAATAAATAGAAAGCAGGGTGAGGGAGTCAGATTCTCGGCCAGCCTGGCCACAAGTTTGAGAATTGCGGGGGTCTCACAGAGAAAGAGGGCCTGGTCAAGAAACACTGCTGCAAAATTCAATTTGCAATTTAAGGAGCAAAGGGATCTTTTGGCCTCCCCTGACTCCCTGTGCAAGTAAGTTCCAGAAGATCAACTTGAATCCTGGAAGACTTGCCAAATTAGTGCAATCGCTGCTTATACTTGACCTTTCAGTGGCATTTTCTTTTCCCCAGCCCCTTGAAGCGCACCCTTTCCAGGCATCTATAGCACCATGCTTCCTGTAGCCCCACGGTCCTTCCCCGTGCAGCCCGGGGCAGCTGTGGTGGTGGGGAAGGGGGGGAAGGGGGAGGTGGCTGGATTTCAAAATTCAGGGTTTGAGGATTTTGAGAGAGAAGTCCAGGATGGCACCTAGATTTTTTACCCTGAACAACTGGGTTAACGGAGGAGTCATTACTGAGATGAAGCCAATCATGGGAGGAACAGGTTTGGGAGAGAAGGTGAAAGGTTCCACTTTAGTGTGTGTGATCCGGGTGTCCCTTAGCCCTCCAGGCGAGGGGGCGGGTAGGAGCCATTGTATGTGGACACTGAGGCCATGAGGCTGGGTGACAGCCGGACGGGAGTCTTGACCTGGAAGGAAAGGAGTGCCAGGCCCTCTCCCTGCGTCAGTGCTGGAGGGTGAGGTGGGCCCGGCAGAGGAACCGAGAAGCAGTGTCCAGGGAGGCAGGACTGGAAGAGGGCCGCCCGGGAGCCTAGCGGCGGAGAGGAGCGTGGTCCGGGGATGCAGCGACTGGCCGACCAAAAGGAGGCCGCTGGGTTCAGCGATGTGGGGCCCACCGGTCACCTGGACAGGTGTGGCTCAGGAGGGGGAGGGGCTTGGGGGAGAATGGGGGGGGGGGACCGCAGGCAGCGGGCTTGCTGCCAGAGGGGGCGCCGAGGGGGCTTGTGTCCCGGGCAAGGAGACAACTAGATGTAGCGTGCGCCTCAGCGGGCCGACCCAAGCTCAGGGCTCGTCAGCTGCAAAGACCGAAACTGGAGGGACGGGTGCTGGCGGAAAGGAAAGGCTGCTTTGCTCAGGAGGCCCGCGGCCCCGCAGATGGTGGGCCAGCGTCCCTAGGCCGTCCCCGGGAGTGCCGCGCGCCGGCAGGAACGCGCCGCCAGCGCGGGACGTGGGTGTCCGCGCCGGGGACGCACGGGCCCTCTGCGCCCCATCTTCCGGGAAATACGAAACCTCCAAACACCAAAGTTTTCAAAGTGGCAAGATGGACTAGCTAGAAGGTTCTCTTTCTCGTCGTTTTTCAGCCCACAAAGTACCAACAAACACACCCTTAAGCCTTCCTTGTGTGATGCTGATAAAAGGCGGCTCTAACCGTGACTGCCTTCTGGGAAGATGACGCACACAGCGCGCGACGCCCGCACCGCAGAGGCCGCGCGGGCACAGGTGGTTTGGGCGGCGGCGCGCACCGTAGGCGGCGGCCTGGGCCTGGGCTCTGCCCCCGCGCGGACTCCAGCTCGGGGCGCGGCCTGAGTTGGGGGTGGGTGTTTTCCTGTCGAGGAGGCCAGTCTCACAAACCGTCTCTAAGCGGTTCCTCTTTCTTGGCGATACACCGTTAACCCCTCCGGCCTCCTCGGAAGAGCCTCGCGGCCCGGCTCCCTCCGCGCGTGCGCCGCCAGGTGTCCCAGGGTGCGCCGGGGCCGGGCAGCGTACGCGCGGAGGGCGCCGGGCCTGCGAGCGAACAAGATCGCCTCCGCCAGGGGGCGGGCGAGCGCCAGGTCTGCGGCACTGCGCAGGCTCCTCTGTCGCCGCCGCGTCCACTGTCCGCATGCGCGGCGCGGCCTAGCGCCGACTGCAGCGGCAAGATGGCGGCCTCCGCAGTTTGCCGGGCGGCGGGCGCCGGGGCGCGAGTGCTGCTGCGCGCCCGCCGCTCGGTGAGGAGGGGACGGGAAGGGGGCACGGGGGGCTGGAGGGGAGGGGGCTGGAGGGGGCGGGGCGGGGGGCTGGAGGCGCCGGCGACGGGGATGTGGGCGGACGGGCGCGGGGTCAGGGCCCGGGAAGGTCACGTCCCGGGGCCGGGGGGCGGCGGCCGCCTGGGGCGCGGGCTGCGGAGCGACCCCCAGCCCGGACTCAGTGTCGGCCGCCCCTCCGCAGTCCGCCCTGCTGAGGTCGTCCGCCTCCCGTGGCGCCGCCACCTTCGCCCAGGCCCTGCAGGGCGTGCCGGAGACGCAGGTCAGCCTGCTGGACAATGGGCTGCGGGTGGCCTCCGGGCGATCCTCGCAGCCCACCTGCACGGTGAGTGGGACGCCGCCCCCCGCGGCTCGGGTGTGACCTTGAGCCCGAGGTCTCGGGGATTCGGGTCGGCCCTGCTCACTCGCAAAGAATTGCCCTCCGATCCGACCCCGACCGCTCCTGGACTTGCGGGGCAATTCTCAGCACTGCTGGCACCCATTTGGCATAGGATGGCTGCCAGGGTCTTTTCCAGCTTTTCCTAAGCGGCCCATTTGAGAGAAGTGATCCCGTCTCCGTTTTTCAGTGAGGAAAATGGGGTTCAGAGACATTGATTGCCAGACTCTTGGCCTAAAGTCATAATCTCCCTGCTAGACCAGGTGTGCGCTTGCAGAAGAAATGCATTTGAAGATTCCATTGAAAGGGATGATTTTCCAGAAAACAACTCAAAATCAACTCAAAGGTAGAAATTTTGGCTAGATGAATGAATAAGTGAGGAGATACTCTGATATATAATCCTGTCCCTCCTAAACGCCCAGGGCCAAGTAGTTTTGTTGGTAAGTTCTATCAGTTCTCTGGGACGAGCAAGGTCCTGGGATATGAATTGTTACTGCACAGCTCAAAAGGTGATAGGCAGTCTGCTTATTACGTGTGCGTGGCACCTGTATAAACCAACCCGAAGCCTGCTAAGCTTCATAGAGAATGCTGTACGTCACGGGCTCCCAGACGCTCTGGAAACCCAGCACCGCGCTGTGCTGCCAGACAAAGAATGCTCTCAGTTATAATCAAAGGTTATCAGGGATTGTAAAATGAGTCTTGCTTTCTAAGATGTTAGCTGTGGGTTAGGTGTTTGTATAAGAATTTTTGTTATATGTACAGCAACATCTTAGAATAGTAGATGGGAAAATTTTGAGTCAGCTGTGAACAAATAGTAAATTAAAAGACCAGATCTCCAGGACCATGTGGGGTGAGTGAGTGGTGTGTGTGTGTTTCACGGCACACAAGGAGGCTATTAAAATTATGATTCTCTCCTGGAGTCCAAGGAGACACTGGTAGCGTTAGGTATCTGGGTCTGACCAAACATTAAGTGTAAATGAAGGCTGCTTTCCTCAATATGATATAATGTTCAGTGTCTAAATCAATAAATAGTCTCCCTTAGTGGTGAAGGGACAAACCATCAGAACAAAAGCAGATACCATTTTTAGAAAGTAGCAAAGTCATTTGCAAACAGTGTGTTGCTTGTCTAGGAGGAAAAAAAAAAAAGACCTAAGGATTAGAAAGTGAGAGTGCATTTAGGATTAGCTGGCTGATGGGTCCCAGTGAGTACCACAGCTAGGGACGCCTGGGAGGCCTGGCTGCCGGGCAGGAAGCAGAGGCCGTGCAACTGCGCCTGCCAAGACCACTCTCCCCAGCCCTGGGACGGGACCCCTTGCCTGGGGCTTGCTCTGCATCCCCCAGGGTGGGGTACGAGTGTGGCCAGACGCTTTGCTACCTGTGGCTTCTTGTCCAGGTTGGGGTGTGGATTGATGTCGGCAGCCGTTACGAGACTGAGAAGAACAACGGGGCAGGCTACTTTGTGGAGCACCTGGCTTTCAAGGTGAGGTGTCTCCCCGGGCTTGGGGCTGCCTGTTGTACCTACTGAGGATGCAGGACAGTAAAGTCCACCTTCTCAATTTGGGGCTTCAGCTGGGGGGTTGATTTCTGGTTGTTCTGGAAGGAGCCATGCAGACTTGGCCTCTCTTGAGTGCTCATCTATCTTGGGTCCCTGCACAAGGCCGCCAGAGGCAAGAAAACCCCAGGGGTCCACAGGAAGCCCACCTTCCAGAGTGGCCAGGCCTGTGTTGTGTGCATGTGCATTTAGAATTGTGGGACACGCATAGATGCACACGTGCCTTGTAACAAACCCACAGACTGGGGCAGGCATGTGTTCGAGGGGAATAGCCTGCTCTGGTGGGATACGGGGCATTTCTTACTTGCAAGGGTGAGGACTGAGCTTGCTGGAGGTGGGGGAAGGTCACCATGTAGCTGGCCCATGTTGGCACTAAGTAGAGACTTCGTTCAAGTGAATGAAAAAAAATGGAGAGGGAAACATGGGATGGGCAGAGGTGTGGTGCGGAACAGATAGCTCGGCCAGTCGCGTGTCCCGCGTGTGCCCTTGCAGGAGTGGCGCGGGGTGGAGTGGGTTGTGGTGTATGCCCGTGAGTGTCCGGGACCGTCACCAGTGGTCGGCTGTCTTGGAGCCTTGGGTTTCGGGCAGCGCCGTCCCTGGCACCCAGCCGTGTCCTTCCCATGGGCCCCTGCTGCTGTTGCTCGCTCAGCCCAAGGCCTGCTTAGTGCTTAGTGAGCACGCCTGGGCCCTGTGTCCCCAGGGTCTTCACTGAGGGAGGAGCCTGTGTACCTGTGGTCCCACGGGGACTGTAGCATCTGAGGATGGAGGTCCTGGGGTTCTGCGTGGCTTCTGAGTGTCCCATTGGTGTCTGGTTGCAGGGAACAAAGAATCGGCCAGGCAGTGCCTTGGAGAAGGAGGTGGAGAGCATGGGGGCCCATCTTAACGCCTATAGCACCCGGGAGCACACTGCTTATTACATCAAGGTGCTCTCCAAGGACCTGCCGAAAGGTAACCTGGAGTGGGCAGGGGTCGGGGTGGGACTGCAGGGGTGTGGAGGACAGGCTCCCAGGAGCCTGTTGCTGGGCCGAAGGGTGCGGTTACCCTCAGAGTGTGTCGCCTTGCACAAGGCAGCCAGGACCCCCACACCTGGGGCTTTGGCACTGTTCCTGCTGTCCAGGGCCCACCTGGCGCCAGCACTGTCTTTCCTGCACACAGCTGTGGAGCTCCTCGCTGACATTGTGCAAAACTGCAGCCTAGAAGACTCTCAGATTGAGAAGGAGCGTGACGTGATCCTGCGGGAGCTGCAGGAGAATGACGCATCCCTGCGGGATGTGGTCTTTGACTACCTGCATGCCACGGCCTTCCAGGGCACGCCTCTCGCCCAGGCTGTGGAGGGGCCCGGCGAGAACGCCAGGTGAGCGTCACTGGGCCTGGGATAGGAACAGTTCAGCCACCCTTGGCAAGCTGATTGTAGAGCTGCCTGCCTGTGCCGGCTGGGCTCTATCTTGGGTGACCCGAGCCGCTCTGGCCGAATGTCTCGCAGGAAGCTGTCTCGGGCTGACCTGACGGAGTACCTCGGCAGGCATTACAAGGCCCCCCGCATGGTGCTGGCAGCAGCTGGAGGTGAGTGGCAGCTCCTGAAGCCCGGCGGTGGTGGGTGGGTGGGCGCTGGCCCACCACAGGATGGTGGTGGGGTACTGGCCCCCCAGACGCGAGGCGTTTCTCGACCCCACCTTGTCTGAGGAGACCCAGTTTGCAGGCTGGTGGGAGACAGGTGCTCCAGGCTTGGTCCCTGTCTCCTGGCCAGTGGGGAGCCAAACACTGGGTGTGTGCTGATGCCCGTTGGATGACAGACTGGGGCGCACCTTGACGGGGGCACATGGGCAGGGGATGGTGACAGGGCTCATGGAGGTGAGGGGGGTGCCTTTGAAACGTGTTGTTTGAATGGTGGTAGCTGATAAGTTGGGGAGTGGGGTTGTAGCCCCACATGTGTGTTAAGGCTTGCTCTGCTCTGCTGCTGTGGGGGGCTGGGGCATGGGCGTGGGGAGAGGCAGAAGGAGCAGGGGAGAGAAGTGGGTGGGCTTTGTGGGTGGGAATGTGCGGGTGTGGACGTGGGGGGGTCGCAGGGTCAAGGGCCTGGGTGGGTGCAGGAGACCGGCAGGAAGAGCCCACTGTGGTTTTGGGCCAGTGAACCCATAGTGATTCGAGCTGCTGACGTGTTGGGCCTCACTGAGCCCAGCAGGGTCTGAGCTTGGGGAAGGAGAGAGGCACCTGGCGGGCTGTCCTTGGGGAAGGTGGCCGAGTCCCTGTCCCGAGGCAAGGCCAGCAGGATCCTAAGGGTCCGATCCCTAATGTGACGTGTTTTTGTGCCCTGTCACCTGCCAGTCCCTCCATCCCCCACCCCAGGACAGCAGCCACGGTCTGCTCAAGGAAGAGCTGCACAGACGAGGCAGGGCAGGTGGCCTTTGCCCAGGGATCCTGTCTTATCCTCGGTGTGGGGGAGAGTCTGTCACATGGGAGGGAGTCTGTTTATAAGCTCAGCTGCTGGTGTGTCTCCAGGGCTGTGGTGGGAGCAACTTGACCCTGAGGGGCCAGCCCTGCCCACGAACAGAGTCAGTCTGTGCAAGACTGTCCGCCTCTCCTGTCCTGGTGTCACGTCTTCTGCCCTCTCCACCAAGACGGCACACGGGGTCCTCTGCCTGTCCGTGGTTCCCCCTCCCTGTGCCTCGCACCCTGGCTGGCCAGTAAAGCTGCTGTGTGTCTCAGCAGGGGTGGAGCACCGGCAGCTGCTGGACCTCGCCCAGAAGCACTTCAGCAGCCTCTCTCAGGCCTACACGGAGGACGCCGTGCCCACCCTGGCTCCGTGCCGCTTCACTGGCAGTGAGGTGGGCACCTGGTGGGGCTCTCAGCCAGGGCCTCTGGGGGACCTTGCATTTCATTACTGCAGAGATGCTTTGAGCAGGACAGGGGTCCCGTAGCTCCGCTCACAAGCACATGTTCACACATGCATGCCTGCACCCAGCCACACTTGGTGCCCTTGCCGGTGGCCTAGGCGCTCTGGTACCCCTCAGCCTTGCCGTATACTGTTCCAGATCCGTCACCGTGACGACGCCCTACCTTTGGCCCATGTGGCTATTGCAGTGGAGGGGCCTGGCTGGGCCAACCCGGACAACGTGGCCCTCCAAGTAGCCAATGCCATCATCGGCCACTATGACTGCACTTACGGGGGCGGCATGGTGCGTGCCAGGGGCGGGCAGGGACCCTGCCTTGAAGGAAGAGAGGGTGCTGGGACTGTGGCCTCTGCCCTGTGGGGTTCGGGTGTGGGACGCGGGTGCTGACCACCCCTGCCCGGCAGCATCTGTCCAGCCCGCTGGCTTCAGCTGCTGTGACCAACAAGCTGTGTCAGAGCTTCCAGACCTTCAACATCTGCTATGCGGAGACAGGGCTGCTGGGTGCGCACTTTGTCTGCAACCGCATGAGCATCGACGACATGATGTTCCTCCTGCAAGGCCAGTGGTGAGCATCCCCCGCTGCTGGGGGAGGTCAGGGCCTGTGGGCAGGTGGGGGAGGCCAAGCAGCACACGCTGCAGAGTGAGCAGCCACCTGCCGCCCTAGGATGCGCCTCTGCACCAGCACCACGGAGAGCGAGGTGAGCCGGGGCAAGAACATCCTCAGAAACGCCTTGGTGTCTCATCTGGACGGTGAGTCCTGCAGCCCAGGGGTGGCACGTGGCCACCACCCTTGACTTTGAAGGTCCTGCTGTTTACCTCCCCACCCTCAGGGCTTAGAGCCTCAGGTGCAAGGGTGGGGGGTTGGGTCAGTCATTGCTCAGCGCAGGTGGTTGTAGAAGTGAGGGTTGTGATCCGCCGTCACCACAGTCCGTGGGCCAGCCCAGAGCGGGAGGTCGGGTGTGACCTGTCAGTTTCCCCGGCCCCGGCAGGTACCACTCCTGTGTGCGAGGACATCGGGCGGAGTCTCCTGACCTATGGCCGCCACATCCCCCTGGCCGAGTGGGAAAGCCGGATCGCGGTAACACAGGCCCCGGGAGGGGTTTTCAAGTCCCAACCTGGCAGGCTTCTACGGGCGTCTCCGGCAGGGAGCCGTAATAGGGGCAGGCAGAGGCACTGCCGGCCACGGGCTGCTACCCCACGGGAGCCCCCGATGGGGGGAGATCCCAACAGCTGCCCTTCGGGGGAAGGGCAGCGCCTGGGGGCTTGGGAGCGGCTGGGTACAGTCTCCTGGCCACAGCGGCCCCCACTCCTGCCAGCCAGCATCTCTGTGCTTCACCCCACAGGAGGTGGATGCCCGCACGGTGCGTGAGGTCTGCTCCAAGTACTTCTATGACCAGTGTCCCGCAGTGGCCGGGTTGGGTGAGTGGCCTGCAGGGCCCGCTCTTTGTCCTTGTCCCACGGCCGTTCTCGTGGCCTCCCCTTCCGCCTCTGCTTGCCCACACCCCGGCCTGCACTGGGGCAGCAGATGAGGCCCCCGAGAGGCTCTGCCTAATGGCCAGGCTGCCAGGGAGCTCTTGCTCAGAAAACCTGTCCCAGCAGTTCCCTGCCTGCCTGCCAAGGTTCCTCCATCAGTGCCTCCCACCTGCCAGGTAACAGACACCCCCCATGGGTGGGGTGGGGCCCCGGCAGCCAGAGCGTGAAGGGACACGCTTGGGGCCCCGAGCAACGTTCTCTTCCCTCTTGGCTCAAAGCTCGCCTTGTGCTGCTCTGGACAGCCCCTGATCGGGTGGGGCACAGGGCCAGGTGTCCCTGTGCAGGCCAAGAGCCCCACCCTGATGCCCTGCCCAATCCCCACAGGCCCCATCGAGCAGCTCCCTGACTACAACCGGATCCGCAGCGGCATGTTCTGGCTGCGCTTTTAGGCTGGAAGGCTGTGCAGGCCTCAGGAGGGCAGGCCAGGCTCCAGGTCCCCAGCCACACCACCTGGCACTTCAGACACACGCCGCATGGCCCCACCAATAAAGCTGTGTGTCCAGAGCTGCATGGCCCTCTTGGCTTTACCGTGGGGTCCCCTGGGCCACAGAGGGAGGGGGAGGCAAGTACTGTGTCCCCTGGACCCCTCCACCTTCCCACAAGCGACTGTGTCTTCAGCCAGGGGCAAATGGGGCCACAGCCCAGGGGCCGGAAGCTTGTGAGCCAGCGGGAGCCGCAGCCAGATGTTTCCACTTAGCCACATGCCCCTAGCCTGTGTCCCAGGAGTGGGGCGTGGGAGTCCCCGGGAGCTACAGGCCTATCCTTGGTTGTGGGAAGGGCCCTAGCTTGGGAAGTGGCTTGGCTCAGGTGGGAGCCCCCTGCCCTGGCCCCTGTGTGCCGCCTCTGCAGACCCGTGGTACGTCATTGGACCAGGAGGGACCAAGGGCTTCCCTGAGGACGCCTTCTTCGTTGGTTCCATCCGGGAGGATGGCCTGGGGCGCAGTGTTTCCACTGGTTTCTAGCTGCTGCCTGGACAGGCAGGGCAAGAATCCTTTGCCTCGATTTGCCACTGACTCAGGCTCCCAGAATAGCCCTGAGCTCAGTGGGGCCCGAGCCCCTCCCCCAGCCAGGTCTGTCCTGGGCGAGTCCTGAGCGGCAGGCCCCCAGGCCCCTCCCGTGTAGCCGAGGCAGCTAGGACCTGGGGGAGCTCTCCCCTGTCGCGGGCCCTGCCACCTGGGGTCCTTGGTCCCTGGGCAGGTGGGCCCATCTTCCTGTGCCCCCCTACCAGCTATCAGGCTCCTTGGGAGCCCAGGCTGGAGACAGACAAGGGAGGGCCTGGCTGTCCTCGGGGCTGTGGGCAAGCGGGAGTGGGATCCTGGGTTGGGGGCTATTCGGAAGCCCCCCATGTCTTGGCTTTGCTGTAACCAGAACAGCCTCAGAGTGCCCCCCCTCCCCCGCCCGCCACTCTGCTGTTTGCTCACAAGTTGTCGATTAGGAAATGCCTGTCAGGTGCCTCCTAGAGCCCAGGGCGGGGGTCTCAGGGCCTCCTCTGTGACGGGCTGGAGAGCACAGGCTGACAGGCCCCTGGATGCTTTCAGTGGCATGTGGCACAGCAGGGGTGGCGAGCCCCGAGTCTGTCGCTCTGAGTAGGCTCGCAGCCGCTGGGGTCTGATTCCTGAGCCTCGATCTGTCCCCTCAGAGGCTCCAGGTGTGCAGGACTTAGCTGGCCTCCCTGGGGCGTGATGTGGCCCCAGGAAACTGATCTCCCCTCTGGCGGCTTGGGGAGTGACTGGCTAGCCTGAGGTGCAGCCCCAGTGGGCAGGTCCTGTGGTGACCTGAGGAGCTGCCCTAGGGCGGGGCAGAGGTCACAGGAGGAGCTGGAGCAAGCTGCCAGGGCACTGGGAGGGCAGAGGATGACCTGCCAGGCCTGGGCTGTAGTCACGGTGGGCCTGGATGTGTCCAGGGCAGAGGGCTGCGTAGGGCTGGAATCCTGAAAAGACACCCCTGTTGGGGACAGATGTGCCACCTGGCAGAAAGTGGCTCAAGGTAAGGCAAGGGGCAGGGGAGTGGGTGAAGGGCTGTGCTCGCCCTGCTACCCTGATGGGAGAGCTGGCCTCGGGCTGTGCCCAGCACGTGCCTGCTGGGGTCAGAACCGGAGGGCTCTGAGGACCACACACCCGCCCAGGAGCCCCCTGGAGCTCCAGACGGCCCATCCCAGCCTTGCTCCGCCTCTCAGCAGCCTTGGCTGCCCCCTTTGATTGACCCCTGACTGCAGGCAGCCTTTCCTTCCTGGGGGTACACCTCACGGCTCTGATGGTTGACGAGTCCCCTCTCAGCTCGTCCCGCAGTTTCCCCTCAGGGCCGGCCCTGCGTGTTGTCCGGTGCGCTCCCACTCTGCCCTGCTCTTGCCAACCTTCGCTGCGCAGGAGGAGGTCGGGCAGAGGCTACCTCTGACGAGAGCGCGGCTGGCTCCACTGCTCTTGCCTGCGGGACAGCTCCGAAGGGTGGGGGTCCTGGGACGCAGCTGAGACCCAACCTTGGAAAAAGGTTCTGGGCCCCATGGGTTACAGCACTGCCCTGTGGTAAAGGGGGCCACTCTGAGCTCCAGCCTCTGGGCAGTGGGGAGGTAGCAGCAGAGGTGGCCATAGCAGAGGCCTGAGGCCTGGAGGAGTTTCAGATGCACAATCCCCACCTATCCCCACTCAGCCAGTGGGCTGCAGGACAGAATGGCACACAGGAAGGACCAGTGGCATAGCCGTGGGCCTCCCAGAGCTGTCCAGGACAGGCAGAGAAATGGGACTGTGCCCCTGAGTGTCTGCAATGCTGTCATTCCTGAGCAGGTCTGCATGTACAAGGACACCTCGGGACGGGGTCCCTGCCTTTGTGCGCCCGCTGAGTGAGCGGGGTGGGAGCTACTGGGTGGGCCTTGACGGCTGTGGGGGCCAGGCAGACAGCTGCACCTGGAGGGGCCTTCAAGCACAGACTGGAGGAGGGGACTCTGGCGGGCCATGAGGACACGCAGGTCTGGGGGCCTGGCCTGGGGCAGGGCAGGCCACCAGAGGGGGCCTACCCAAGAGCCGGTGCACTCTCACTGTGGATGGTCCCAGTGGGCACAGCTGGATGGCATCTGCCTGGGACATTCAGAGCATGGTAGGGGGTGCAGGGCACTGTGGTGGACATGCGTGCAGACTTGTGACAGATTCTCTCCCCCTACTTCCCCCTCCCTGGGGGTCGGGTGTTAATCAGACACAGCCCTGAGGGGCCTTGCTTTCCCACGGGATCCTGAGCCCCTCATCTGCTGAGACCGCATCGCGTGCCACGGGGGCAGCGGTGGGGCCCAGGAGGCCCAGCAGACAGGCGGGATGGCTGAATCACCAGAGTGGCCTGCGGGACTCATGGCCTGAGGGCTTGCCTGGGCACCCCCAGAGGGTGGGGCTGAGTCATCTCCAGCTGCAGCCGTCCCACCGCCATCCTGCTCTTTCCCAGGAACCCATCTGAAGTCTAGCCCCCAGCAGCCACTTCACTAGGGGCCAGTGTGCGACTTAAAACAGCCAAGACCCAGTCCAACTCAGGCAGGGCCGGATGGGGTCCTGCAGCGTGTGTCCGTCCAGAACCCCCTGGGGGATTCCCAGAGGCCACAGGAGGTGGGGGGCTCTACCCTCAGTGGAGTCACATCCTCTGTCAGGGGAGGGATTGTGGGTGGGGGCGGGCCTCTTGGGTCCCCGCCCGCTGCTCCACCCCAGGATCAGGGACTTTTCTCTGCGTTGGCAGTGGGGCTGTGGAGAGGCTGGTGGCGGGAGCCGCGATGGGCAGGCAAGACTGGGACTTGGTGGAGGTGGGGAGCACCAGGCTGGGACGGGAAGGCCCTGGGACTAGGGTACAGAGCAGGACTGCTGGCCTTCTCCAATCCAGGATGCGGCTGCGGCTCCTGGTGGCCGTACTCTGCACTGGGATCCTCGCAGGAGCACCCCAGGCACGGGCCCAGCGCCGGGAGAGAGGTGGGCACGGTGGGGGACCCCAGCAGGACACAGCACTGTGTCCCGATCCCGTACCCCCTGACTCCCTGGTCCCCCAACCCTCCGGCACCCGCATCGGGTCTCCCTAACTGCATCTCAAATCCTGGCTCCCCAGATGCACTGCGTTCCCTTACCCCATGTCACCCCACGCTGGTCCCCAAGGCCAGCCTCAGTCCCAGAGATGCACCCTTGTCGGCGATGCCCCTCTGCCTCGGGGAGCCTGCTTGGCGCACCCCCACAGGGTCCCCTCGGGGGGGTCCCTGGCCCCAGCCTGCCTGGGCCGGTACTCCCCTCCTGCCCCACCCGCGGGCCACAGTGTGGGGAGGGAGGTGGTGGGCTCCAGGAGGTCTCGATGGCCCCTCTCGGCCCCAGTGACCTGCACGCGCCTCTACGCCGCTGATATCGTCTTCCTGCTGGACGGCTCCTCGTCCATCGGCCGCAACAACTTCCGCGAAGTGCGGGGATTCCTTGAGGGGCTGGTGCAGCCCTTCGTGGGGGCGGCCAGTGCGCAGGGCGTGCGCTTCGCTGTCGTGCAGTACAGCGACGACCCACGGTGAGCAGGGCCCTGGAGCTGGGCGCCCAGAGACCCCCCCCAGGACCTCTCCTGGAGACAGACCCGGGCCCTGCCAAAGCCGGGCGCGGGGCTCTGACCCTGGGGGCCCAGGAGGGGACCCAGGCCTCGGACGCCCCCTGCCGGCCGGCCGCCGCGCGTTCCGACCTCCTAACACCCTCAGCCTCCCTCCCGCCACTCCCGGCGGCCCCGCCTCCACAGTCAGGCAGTTCAGCAGAAACCCTGCCCGCAAGGCCCAGCCTGCAAAGGCCGCAGGAAGTTTGTTCTCTTGGGGCCTCGGGTGGAGAGCAGGGGCCTCAGGACCGGCGGGCCCTCGCCCCAGGGCCCCTTGGAGGCCAGGCCAGGTAGGCCCTGGCCGAGCCTGTGCCACCCGCTGCTCCCCGCAGGACCGAGTTCGGCCTGGATGCACTGGGCTCAGGGAGTGATGTGATCCGTGCCGTCCGGGAGCTCAGCTACAAGGGGGGCAATACACGCACGGGCGCCGCGATTCTCCACGTGGCCGACCACGTCTTCCTGCCCCAGCTGGCCCGACCTGGCGTCCCCAAGGTGACCCCTTGCCCTAGCATGCTGCCCAGTGAGGCCTTGAACAGTCCTGACTCTCCCTGCACCTGCCCAGGTGTGCATCCTCATCACAGACGGGAAGTCCCAGGACCTGGTGGACGCAGCTGCCCAGAGGCTGAAGGGCCAAGGAGTCAGGCTGTTTGCCGTGGGTGAGCACCAGGGCCTGGAGGTCGGGCAGCCGTGGGCGGAGGGCTGGGGCAGCCGGCCTGACAGGCAACGTCTCAGGGATCAAGAACGCCGACCCCGAGGAGCTGAAGCGAGTCGCCTCTCAGCCCACCAGCGACTTCTTCTTCTTCGTCAATGACTTCACCATCCTGCGGACCCTGCTGCCCCTCGTGTCCCGGAGAGTGTGCACCACTGCCGGCGGCGTGCCTGTGGCCCTGCCCTGTAAGCTCCTGCCTGCACTTGCTCCCTGGGAACCTCTGAGCCTACCCAGGCCCCTGACCCTTGACCCCAACCCTCCTGCCCAATCCCCCTTCCAGCTGGTGGCACGCCCTCTGGCCCCCGAGACCTGGTGCTGTCTGAGCCCGGCAGCCAGTCCCTGAGAGCACAGTGGACAGCGGCCAGTGGCCCTGTGACCGGCTACAGGGTCCAGTACACTCCTCTGACAGCGCTGGGGCAGCCCTTGCCAGGCGGACAGCAAGAGGTAAGAATAATAGGAGCGGAAGGTGCAGCGCTGGGACTCGGCTGGGCAGGATGAAGTGACCTCTGGCCCCGGGCAGGTGAGCGTCCCAGCTGGGGAGACCAGCGTACGGCTGCAGGGTCTCCACCCACTGACGGAGTATGAAGTGACCGTGGTCGCCCTCTACGCCAACAGCATCGGGGAGGCCGTGAGCGGCACCGCTCGAACCAGTGAGCAGTTCTGACCGCTGACCCTCACCTAGACCCACCCAGTAACCCCTCCCACTCCTGACCCCCCTAATCTTTGGTGGGACCTCCCCCAGCTGCCCTGGAGGGGCCGGAGCTGACCATCCGGAACACCACGTCCCACAGCCTCCTGGTGGCCTGGCAGAGCGTGCCAGGGGCCACTGGCTACCGTGTGACATGGCAGGTCCTCCATGGTGAGTGAGAGGGCTGGGATGTGGGGGTCCCTGCCCCTCAGACAGGACTGCAGATCCCTGAGTCTACAAAGCCCACTGGCCCCTATGTGCCCACTGCAGGCGGGCCCACGCAGCAGCAGGAGCTGGGCCCAGGGCAGCAGTCCATGTTGCTGCATGACCTAGAGCCCAGCACGGACTACGAGGTGACCGTGAGTGCCCTACTGGGCCGCAGCGTGGGGTCTGCAGCCTCCCTGACTGCCCGCACTGGTGAGAGGCTGGGAGCTGTGTTCAGGCTGCTGGGCCAATAGGGGGGGCACCGGGGCCACTGATGTCCCCTGTGCCCTGGCAGACAGTGCTGTCGAGCAGACCCTGCACCCAGTTATCCTGAGCCCTACATCCATCCTCCTTTCCTGGAACTTGGTGCCTGAGGCCCGTGGCTACCGGCTGGAGTGGCAGCGTGAGAGCGGTCAGTGCGGGGCAGAGGTGGGCACGCAGGCTGGGCAGGCTTCGGCTGGCCTGACCTGTCTCCTTGCAGGTGGGGAGGTGCCCCAGAAGGTGGTGCTGCCCTCCGATGTGACCCGCTACAGGCTGGACGGGCTGCAGCCGGGCACCGAGTACCGCCTCACCCTCTACACCCTGCTGGAGGGCCGTGAGGTGGCCACCCCCGCAGCTGTAGTCCCTACCGGTGAGGGCTTTGCAGCTGGCGGAGGGGGGAGGATTGGGGCCTGGCGGCAGCCTCTCACACTCTACCCCCTGACAGAGCCCGAGCTGACCGTGGGCCCTGTCACGGACCTGCAGGCAACTGAGCTGCTGGGGCAGCGCGTACGGGTGTCCTGGAGCCCTGTCCCCGGTGCCACTGAGTACCATGTCACTGTGCGCAGCACCCAGGGTGAGGGGGTGGGCCACGCCCTCTCTCACACGGAGGGCCCGGCCCACAGCTCTCGCTGCACCCTTGCCCTGCCCGCCTCCACATCTGCTTCCTTGTCCACCACCTCCCAAGGCAGAAGTGGGCCCAGACCTGCCTCAGGGGCTGTCTGTCCCCTGTCCACCCAGCCCATCACCTCACCGGGTCTGTCCCTACCTGCTGCCCACACCCATCTCCTGCCGTGCCCTTTCACCACCCACCCTGGCCATGGCCGTTGTCCACACTGACATCTCATCCTGCATCCCCATCGGCTGACCCGTCATCATGGGCCCCCATTCATCGCTGGCCCAACACCCCATGTCTCTGTCTCCCTGTCCCTGCCTGCCCACCTTGCCCTCTGCCTCAGGGGTTGAGCGGACTCTGGTGCTCCCCGGGAGTCAGACGGCCTTTGACCTGGATGACGTCCGGGCTGGACTGAGCTACACGGTGCGGGTGTCTGCCCGAGTGGGCCTCCGTGAGGGTGCTGCCAGCATCCTCACTGTCCGCCGGGGTGAGTGCTACAGGACACTCGTGTGCATGGACAGCTTGCTGACTCCCTACACGCCTGGCAGTGACCAAGGGCCTTTGTCCTTCACCCCCAGAACTGGAAGCCCCGCTTGCCATTGCCGGGCTGAGGGTTGTGGCCTCAGATGCTACACGAGTACGCGTGGCCTGGGAGCCTGTTCCTGGAGCCAGCGGATTTCGGATTAGCTGGAGGACAGGCAGTGGTCAGTGTGGGGCATGTGGGAGGGCTGCAGAGGGGACCTTTCAGGGCATGGGCGACTGGGGGACCTGCAGGAGTCGTGCCAACACTTCGTGCTGACCCTAGGTCCGGAGTCCAGCCAGACGTTGCCCCCAGGATCCACTGCTGTGGACATCACGGGGCTGCGGCCTGGCACGTCCTACCAGGTGGCTGTGTCGGCACTGCGCGGCAGAGAGGAGGGCCCCCCCGCACTCACTGTGGCTTCCACTGGTCAGGCTCTACGCAGGCCCCTGGCTCTCCTCCTCCGGTGCCCCTCAGACCCCTGCCTTCTCCGAGAGCTCTGCTCCCCCTCGGGGTGCTTGCCTCCCCTTAAGCCCCTGATCCTTCACAGTCCCCCACCTCTACCCTAAGGCCCCATCAGCTCCGGCCGCGGATCCCCACAAGCTCACCTCTTGGGCTCCCACTGCCTCTTCTGCCAGATCCCACCTCCTCGTAGACTGACTTTCCCCTTGTCAGGCTCTCACTACCTCCTCCTGGCCCCACGGGACCCCGTCACCTTCCCTGTCAGATGCTCACCACCCCGTCCCTCTCCACCATCTGATGCCACCCCCCCTGCCAGGTCCCTGCCCCCTGTAGGCTCCCACGGCCTCCCAGTCAGGTCTGCTGCCTCCTCCATCAGACTCCCCGTGCCTCTCCCTCCAGACCCACTGGGTGCAGTGAGGACTGTCCATGTGACTCAGACTGGCCGCTCATCTGCCACCGTCGCCTGGAGCAAGGTTCCTGGTGCCACTGGATACAGGGTCTCTTGGCACTCAGGCCATGGTGGGGACCAGGGACCCTGGAGGGTCTGGGGGGCAGGTCTGACTGGAATGGGGGCTGGAGGTTTCTTTGGGGTCCAGGTGGGGCTCTGGGGGCAGAGTCTGGCTAGCCCGGGAGCTGCCTGCGTCCCCACTCCCAGGCCCAGAGAAATCCCAACTGGTTTCTGGGGAGGCCATGGCGGCTGAGCTCGACGGACTGGAGCCAGATACGGAGTACACAGTGCATGTGCGGGCCCACGTGGCCGGTGTGGATGGGACGCCTGCCTCTGTGGTTGTGCGGACAGGCGAGTGGCCCGCCCCGCCCTGCAGTGTGTTCCTGCCTGAAGACTTCTCTCCCACTGACCCACCCCACACTGAGAGTCCCCAGGGACCTCCTGGCTGCTCCCACCGCCCACTCACACTGACCCCCCTTAGGGGTCCTCATTGACCTCACGCTAACCCCCCTGCGCTGACCGCGCCTGCCCTGCCGCCCCGTTCTCTGGCAGCCGTCCCCTTACCCTTCCTCTGCCTTCAGACCCCGAGCCCGTGGGCAGTGTGTCGAAGCTGCAGATCCTCAACGCTTCCAGTGATGTTCTGCGGGTCACCTGGGTGGGGGTCGCCGGGGCCACAGCCTACAGACTGGCCTGGGGCCCGAGCGAGGGTATGGCTCCCCGACCCCACACTGCACTCCCTGGCTGCGAATGCCCTCTGCTCAGCATCCCCCACCCTGACCGTTGTCCTTGCTCGCCTGGACAGGTGGCCCCACGAGACACCAGGTGCTCCCAGGAAGCACAGACTCTGCAGAAATACGGGGCCTCCGAGGCGGAGTCAGCTACTCGGTGCGAGTGACAGCGCTGGTCGGAGACCGCGAGGGCGCCCCAGTCTCCATTGTCGTCACGACGCGTAACCGCAGTTTCCCCTCAGGGCCGGCCCTGCGTGTTGTCCGGTGCGCTCCCACTCTGCCCTGCTCTTGCCAACCTTCGCTGCGCAGGAGGAGGTCGGGCAGAGGCTACCTCTGACGAGAGCGCGGCTGGCTCCACTGCTCTTGCCTGCGGGACAGCTCCGAAGGGTGGGGGTCCTGGGACGCAGCTGAGACCCAACCTTGGAAAAAGGTTCTGGGCCCCATGGGTTACAGCACTGCCCTGTGGTAAAGGGGGCCACTCTGAGCTCCAGCCTCTGGGCAGTGGGGAGGTGGCAGCAGAGGTGGCCATAGCAGAGGCCTGAGGCCTGGAGGAGTTTCAGATGCACAATCCCCACCTATCCCCACTCAGCCAGTGGGCTGCAGGACAGAATGGCACACAGGAAGGACCAGTGGCATAGCCGTGGGCCTCCCAGAGCTGTCCAGGACAGGCAGAGAAATGGGACTGTGCCCCTGAGTGTCTGCAATGCTGTCATTCCTGAGCAGGTCTGCATGTACAAGGACACCTCGGGACGGGGTCCCTGCCTTTGTGCGCCCGCTGAGTGAGCGGGGTGGGAGCTACTGGGTGGGCCTTGACGGCTGTGGGGGCCAGGCAGACAGCTGCACCTGGAGGGGCCTTCAAGCACAGACTGGAGGAGGGGACTCTGGCGGGCCATGAGGACACGCAGGTCTGGGGGCCTGGCCTGGGGCAGGGCAGGCCACCAGAGGGGGCCTACCCAAGAGCCGGTGCACTCTCACTGTGGATGGTCCCAGTGGGCACAGCTGGATGGCATCTGCCTGGGACATTCAGAGCATGGTAGGGGGTGCAGGGCACTGTGGTGGACATGCGTGCAGACTTGTGACAGATTCTCTCCCCCTACTTCCCCCTCCCTGGGGGTCGGGTGTTAATCAGACACAGCCCTGAGGGGCCTTGCTTTCCCACGGGATCCTGAGCCCCTCATCTGCTGAGACCGCATCGCGTGCCACGGGGGCAGCGGTGGGGCCCAGGAGGCCCAGCAGACAGGCGGGATGGCTGAATCACCAGAGTGGCCTGCGGGACTCATGGCCTGAGGGCTTGCCTGGGCACCCCCAGAGGGTGGGGCTGAGTCATCTCCAGCTGCAGCCGTCCCACCGCCATCCTGCTCTTTCCCAGGAACCCATCTGAAGTCTAGCCCCCAGCAGCCACTTCACTAGGGGCCAGTGTGCGACTTAAAACAGCCAAGACCCAGTCCAACTCAGGCAGGGCCGGATGGGGTCCTGCAGCGTGTGTCCGTCCAGAACCCCCTGGGGGATTCCCAGAGGCCACAGGAGGTGGGGGGCTCTACCCTCAGTGGAGTCACATCCTCTGTCAGGGGAGGGATTGTGGGTGGGGGCGGGCCTCTTGGGTCCCCGCCCGCTGCTCCACCCCAGGATCAGGGACTTTTCTCTGCGTTGGCAGTGGGGCTGTGGAGAGGCTGGTGGCGGGAGCCGCGATGGGCAGGCAAGACTGGGACTTGGTGGAGGTGGGGAGCACCAGGCTGGGACGGGAAGGCCCTGGGACTAGGGTACAGAGCAGGACTGCTGGCCTTCTCCAATCCAGGATGCGGCTGCGGCTCCTGGTGGCCGTACTCTGCACTGGGATCCTCGCAGGAGCACCCCAGGCACGGGCCCAGCGCCGGGAGAGAGGTGGGCACGGTGGGGGACCCCAGCAGGACACAGCACTGTGTCCCGATCCCGTACCCCCTGACTCCCTGGTCCCCCAACCCTCCGGCACCCGCATCGGGTCTCCCTAACTGCATCTCAAATCCTGGCTCCCCAGATGCACTGCGTTCCCTTACCCCATGTCACCCCACGCTGGTCCCCAAGGCCAGCCTCAGTCCCAGAGATGCACCCTTGTCGGCGATGCCCCTCTGCCTCGGGGAGCCTGCTTGGCGCACCCCCACAGGGTCCCCTCGGGGGGGTCCCTGGCCCCAGCCTGCCTGGGCCGGTACTCCCCTCCTGCCCCACCCGCGGGCCACAGTGTGGGGAGGGAGGTGGTGGGCTCCAGGAGGTCTCGATGGCCCCTCTCGGCCCCAGTGACCTGCACGCGCCTCTACGCCGCTGATATCGTCTTCCTGCTGGACGGCTCCTCGTCCATCGGCCGCAACAACTTCCGCGAAGTGCGGGGATTCCTTGAGGGGCTGGTGCAGCCCTTCGTGGGGGCGGCCAGTGCGCAGGGCGTGCGCTTCGCTGTCGTGCAGTACAGCGACGACCCACGGTGAGCAGGGCCCTGGAGCTGGGCGCCCAGAGACCCCCCCAGGACCTCTCCTGGAGACAGACCCGGGCCCTGCCAAAGCCGGGCGCGGGGCTCTGACCCTGGGGGCCCAGGAGGGGACCCAGGCCTCGGACGCCCCCTGCCGGCCGGCCGCCGCGCGTTCCGACCTCCTAACACCCTCAGCCTCCCTCCCGCCACTCCCGGCGGCCCCGCCTCCACAGTCAGGCAGTTCAGCAGAAACCCTGCCCGCAAGGCCCAGCCTGCAAAGGCCGCAGGAAGTTTGTTCTCTTGGGGCCTCGGGTGGAGGGCAGGGGCCTCAGGACCGGCGGGCCCTCGCCCCAGGGCCCCTTGGAGGCCAGGCCAGGTAGGCCCTGGCCGAGCCTGTGCCACCCGCTGCTCCCCGCAGGACCGAGTTCGGCCTGGATGCACTGGGCTCAGGGAGTGATGTGATCCGTGCCGTCCGGGAGCTCAGCTACAAGGGGGGCAATACACGCACGGGCGCCGCGATTCTCCACGTGGCCGACCACGTCTTCCTGCCCCAGCTGGCCCGACCTGGCGTCCCCAAGGTGACCCCTTGCCCTAGCATGCTGCCCAGTGAGGCCTTGAACAGTCCTGACTCTCCCTGCACCTGCCCAGGTGTGCATCCTCATCACAGACGGGAAGTCCCAGGACCTGGTGGACGCAGCTGCCCAGAGGCTGAAGGGCCAAGGAGTCAGGCTGTTTGCCGTGGGTGAGCACCAGGGCCTGGAGGTCGGGCAGCCGTGGGCGGAGGGCTGGGGCAGCCGGCCTGACAGGCAACGTCTCAGGGATCAAGAACGCCGACCCCGAGGAGCTGAAGCGAGTCGCCTCTCAGCCCACCAGCGACTTCTTCTTCTTCGTCAATGACTTCACCATCCTGCGGACCCTGCTGCCCCTCGTGTCCCGGAGAGTGTGCACCACTGCCGGCGGCGTGCCTGTGGCCCTGCCCTGTAAGCTCCTGCCTGCACTTGCTCCCTGGGAACCTCTGAGCCTACCCAGGCCCCTGACCCTTGACCCCAACCCTCCTGCCCAATCCCCCTTCCAGCTGGTGGCACGCCCTCTGGCCCCCGAGACCTGGTGCTGTCTGAGCCCGGCAGCCAGTCCCTGAGAGCACAGTGGACAGCGGCCAGTGGCCCTGTGACCGGCTACAGGGTCCAGTACACTCCTCTGACAGCGCTGGGGCAGCCCTTGCCAGGCGGACAGCAAGAGGTAAGAATAATAGGAGCGGAAGGTGCAGCGCTGGGACTCGGCTGGGCAGGATGAAGTGACCTCTGGCCCCGGGCAGGTGAGCGTCCCAGCTGGGGAGACCAGCGTACGGCTGCAGGGTCTCCACCCACTGACGGAGTATGAAGTGACCGTGGTCGCCCTCTACGCCAACAGCATCGGGGAGGCCGTGAGCGGCACCGCTCGAACCAGTGAGCAGTTCTGACCGCTGACCCTCACCTAGACCCACCCAGTAACCCCTCCCACTCCTGACCCCCCTAATCTTTGGTGGGACCTCCCCCAGCTGCCCTGGAGGGGCCGGAGCTGACCATCCGGAACACCACGTCCCACAGCCTCCTGGTGGCCTGGCAGAGCGTGCCAGGGGCCACTGGCTACCGTGTGACATGGCAGGTCCTCCATGGTGAGTGAGAGGGCTGGGATGTGGGGGTCCCTGCCCCTCAGACAGGACTGCAGATCCCTGAGTCTACAAAGCCCACTGGCCCCTATGTGCCCACTGCAGGCGGGCCCACGCAGCAGCAGGAGCTGGGCCCAGGGCAGCAGTCCATGTTGCTGCGTGACCTAGAGCCCAGCACGGACTACGAGGTGACCGTGAGTGCCCTACTGGGCCGCAGCGTGGGGTCTGCAGCCTCCCTGACTGCCCGCACTGGTGAGAGGCTGGGAGCTGTGTTCAGGCTGCTGGGCCAATAGGGGGGGCACCGGGGCCACTGATGTCCCCTGTGCCCTGGCAGACAGTGCTGTCGAGCAGACCCTGCACCCAGTTATCCTGAGCCCTACATCCATCCTCCTTTCCTGGAACTTGGTGCCTGAGGCCCGTGGCTACCGGCTGGAGTGGCAGCGTGAGAGCGGTCAGTGCGGGGCAGAGGTGGGCACGCAGGCTGGGCAGGCTTCGGCTGGCCTGACCTGTCTCCTTGCAGGTGGGGAGGTGCCCCAGAAGGTGGTGCTGCCCTCCGATGTGACCCGCTACAGGCTGGACGGGCTGCAGCCGGGCACCGAGTACCGCCTCACCCTCTACACCCTGCTGGAGGGCCGTGAGGTGGCCACCCCCGCAGCTGTAGTCCCTACCGGTGAGGGCTTTGCAGCTGGCGGAGGGGGGAGGATTGGGGCCTGGCGGCAGCCTCTCACACTCTACCCCCTGACAGAGCCCGAGCTGACCGTGGGCCCTGTCACGGACCTGCAGGCAACTGAGCTGCTGGGGCAGCGCGTACGGGTGTCCTGGAGCCCTGTCCCCGGTGCCACTGAGTACCATGTCACTGTGCGCAGCACCCAGGGTGAGGGGGTGGGCCACGCCCTCTCTCACACGGAGGGCCCGGCCCACAGCTCTCGCTGCACCCTTGCCCTGCCCGCCTCCACATCTGCTTCCTTGTCCACCACCTCCCAAGGCAGAAGTGGGCCCAGACCTGCCTCAGGGGCTGTCTGTCCCCTGTCCACCCAGCCCATCACCTCACCGGGTCTGTCCCTACCTGCTGCCCACACCCATCTCCTGCCGTGCCCTTTCACCACCCACCCTGGCCATGGCCGTTGTCCACACTGACATCTCATCCTGCATCCCCATCGGCTGACCCGTCATCATGGGCCCCCATTCATCGCTGGCCCAACACCCCATGTCTCTGTCTCCCTGTCCCTGCCTGCCCACCTTGCCCTCTGCC